TATGGTTTTGACATTACGTAATGATGTTTTGATATACCTCAATATGGAATAGTCATTACTTAATGATTTTTCGATATTACACGATATGGTTTCGTATTGACTTGATATAGTTTTGTCATTACTCAATATGGTTTTGTCATTACTCGATGTGGTTTCACCATTATTTAATGTGGTTGTGTCATTAGTCAATGTGGTTTTAACATTATTTAATGTGGTTGTGTCATTAGTCAATGTGGTTTTAACATTACTTGATGTGAATGTGACTTAACGTTATCATGTAGTTGTTTCATTACATGATGTGGTTTTGTTATTTTGTAATGATGATTTGCCTATTCTTTATATGGTTTTAACATTACGTAATGATGTTTCAAAATTTGACGATTTTACACTACATGATGTGTTTGTTTCATTATTTGATGTGGTCCTGTCATTCTTTGATGTGGTTATCCCATTACTTGATGAGGTAAAATCACGTGACCGATTCGGAAAAACCTGTTCTATTTTTAGATAGATGTCAGGTTGTATGTGCCTGGGATGAGTGTTGCCATCCATCGAATTTGAGTTCGGGTTACTGTTTGAGTTAAACTTTGAGTTAGTCTTCGATTTCGAATTCAAGTCATTATTAGAATTAAAATTTTAGTTAGCATTGAGTTTCGAGTTGGACTTCGAGTTTGAGTCACATTTAAGGGTAGAGTTCTAGTTACAACATTAAATTTGAGTCACTTTTTGAGGTAGAGTTTGAGTAAGATTCGAATTTAAGTCTCATTTAGATTAATTCAGATTATGAGTTGAAATTCGAGCTATCTTATATGGGTTCGTAATTAAATTTTCTATCGCGGAACAAGGACTTTTGCTCGGGCTTCCGAAAAGAGGGCTCCGAGTTATGCGTACAAAAGATAAACAATGTTACAGTATACAAAACGCAACATAGAAGTTGAAATAAAGCTAGATGTGGTGTGATTGACAATGAGACAACTATCCACCAGAGTTTAAATGCAGTGGATGTAAGAAATCATATATAGGCAACCGTACAGCCTTCAACACACCGTTTAGTCAGCTACAAAAGGCCACCATGCACCATGTGAAAAAATTCAAACGAAAAAACAAACGGTCTTATTTATAAATAAACAATCTACAAAAAAAAATGACACACATTTATACAACGACAACAATTGAACTTCATGCTCCTAACTTGGGGCAGGTACATAAAGAAAGTGCACGTGGCGGAGTTTAACATGTATGTGAGCGCTAAATCCTAACCTTACATCGGACTGTTACAGTTGTGTAACAGCACAACACGAGAAAAAAATGTAAACTAGACAAAGTGATGCCCCCGCACTCAACTCATTTAACCGCTTATACCCCAAAAATGACAAAAACAAGTTCAATTGTCTCCCAAAAAGAGCAAAAGATAATAAAAATAAAAACCCTGACCACATGCACACCTACAATATATGTACAAACAGCCAGCAGAGTGAAAACTTCCTAGCATTCAAACTGTAGGAGGAGTTATCTGGAAACGCTCTACTTATGCAAGGAAATTTCCCAAAAAATTACAAAGTTCAACTATCTCCCAAAAAAGCAAATATTAATAAACATTAAACCCTGACCACATGCACACCTTCAATATATGTACAAACAGACAGTAAAGAGAAAACTTCCTAGGATTCAAACTGTAGGAGGAGTTATGCGGAATAACTATATACCCATAATGGGACGGACAGACGGACGGACGGACGGACGGACGGACGGACGGACGGACGGACGGGGGTAAAACAATATGCCCCCCAGCTTTCAGTTGCGGTAGCATACAAAACAGTTTCATTTGGCTGATTCAATAGATCGGTATGACTGGGTAATATAAATCCATCGGGGTGATCTCGGATGCTCCAGAAAGGCACCCGTCGTGTTATTCGAGAAAGTACAAACCCAGTGATTTGGGTTTATTTGGAAGTTTACATTCAAGGAAAAGATGACGGTATTATGGTTACGACCACTGGAACATGTCCGTCGTCACATGTGAAACAGATATTCCAAAAAGTTTATTTTTCAATTAGTGCGAGGTAGATCAGGGAATTCAATTGATTACAAATAAAAGATTGATATTCGTAGAAGTTCAAATGATCATTTACGCTAAAAAAAAAATTCGGAGAATTCTTATTTTATAGTATTGATGCTTTATCGCTAAGTCCGAGCCCCTTCTCCCCCCGTTTCCCTGTAACTTTAGTGTGAGTTGATTTGAAGTGTTTCATTTGTTAACAATAAAGTTCAAGTCTTTTGATTTGTGTCGAGCCTGCGACATCAATGTAGCGGCAGTGAGACACAACAAACCTATATTTCGTCGTCGATAGTGGCGTCGGCGTCTCCATCTCCATTTTTTTTAATTTCTATTGAGTTTAACCTTTCATTATACATGTTACTAAACATGTATGCCATCATAATTTTGTACTTTTAGAATATCATACTGTATTTGTTTACCTCGACTATTGTATCTGTATTTATATTGTATGTTTCTCTGTAAACTTGTATTTAGTTTTTAGAGAATAAAGTATCTATGTATCTATAGATCGTTAGGTTTCTAGTTTTTTACATTTTTCATTTCGGGACCTTTTATAGCTTACTATAGGGTATGGGTTTTTGCGCATTGTTGAAAACCATACAGTTTTGTTTTAGTTAATAAAAACCGAATTAAACTGTTTTGACATGATAAATTTGTAAACCTCAATGAAGTGTTTTAAAACTTGTATAGGAGTTATTCCTCAATTTCAAGAAAAAGCATCTACAGAAAAACATTTTTTTTTAATTTTGTTTTTACCGATAAATGTATGGATAAATGTACAGTCGATCAACATGACGCTTTTACACTTACAGCAGCAATATCAGGCGAGACACATGGTTCCGTGGAATATTTTACAAATTTATTACAAAAATACTGCTTCCGTTTGAGAACTTAGGATAAAAACAACAGGACCAAGTGGTTTGGGGATATCCCAATTATGTCCGAAATACTGTAAACTTTTTAATACTTTTTTTCTTATTATTGTCTGCCGTTCCCCTTTTTCATACCAAATAACTCTGAACAACCACTCGAACTTTAATTTGAACTTTAACTCAATGGATTAGCGATACCCATCCAAAGCACCTTAAACAAACGATATATTGAAATCTGTTTAAAAATAGAACATATTTTTTTCCGAATTGGTCACGTGGTTTTACCTCATCAAGTAATGGGATAACCACATCAAAGAATGACAGGACCACATCAAATAATGAAACAAACACATCATGTAGTGTAAAATCGTCAAATTTTGAAACATCATTGCGTAATGTTAAAACCATATAAAGAATAGGCAAATCATCATTACGAAATAACAAAACCACATCATGTAATGAAACAACTACATAACGTTAAGTCACATTCACATCAAGTAATGTTAAAACCACATTGACTAATGACACAACCACATTAAATAATGGTGAAACCACATCGAGTAATGACAAAACCATATTGAGTAATGACAAAACTATATCAAGTCAATACGAAACCATATCGTGTAATATCGAAATATCATTAAGTAATGACTATTCCATATTGAGTTATATCAAAACATCATTACGTAATGTCAAAACCATATTAAGTAAAGACAAAATATCATCAAGTAATAATAAAACAACATAAAGTAATATCAGAGTTCCACACAAGACAGCTGTGGCGTTCCATACATTTCTACCAATTCTTTAAAAAAGAAGCTAAAAGCAAAATTTGATGGAGCAAATACAAAACTCTTGCAATCGTCGTAATCACCCTAACTGTCGGTAACAATCTAGAACATAAAAGGGTTATATCGAGCTACTGTTTCGTAATCGATATCCGTAGGATGCTAATATTATACATACCGAGTTTTCTCTTTCCAAACGAATAGTATGCATTTAGTTCTGGCTTCAGTATTTGAACAAAAAAAAATCATGGATGCTAAAGACACAAATGGAATACAAGTTTTACAACAATTAATGCCAATCACTGCTAAAGGGGCAATAGTTACAATTTAGACAAAACTTTGTAATACTATTCTTTTTGTTTCAAGTATAAGTATAAAAGCGGAATTTTGATATAATATTTCGTTATAAGCAGTCAGCTTGCCCCAAATTTTTTAAAATAAGCTCAAAACATCGCTGATGTATTATTGACTCGCAAGTCTATAATTTAACCTCATTAAATCAGTATTCATGTGACCTTCAGTTTAACCCCTTAGCTAGAGATTTGCTACGCATGTACTAGGCGTGTCAAGGAAAAGACTGTCAACATTGAAAGTAAAACAAGTGTGAACCATTTGGTTGACTGATTCGATCCACAAAAAATAATTTTTATACAAGTAAAAACGACGATTAACATTTTTTTAACCTACAATATGAAATCAAACAGACATAGAAAAATCCAATTGCACGTGCTCGCTATATTTTTATATTTATATATATATTTATGCTTATATCGGGTTATATGACCGTCGACAGTCTTCGGAAGTCATCTCGATGGTAAATAAGATGGCGTCTAGACTAAAATACACTCAAAATGCGATACATATTATCGAGTCCATGCATTGTTAATTCTTTATTTTAGACTTTTTTTTGTAATTTTGATATATACGTTTTAGTACGTATTTGAGTCAAATCGGTGAACATGAATTTGACGGCTAATGCCCCTTTAAACTCGTTGCTCCTGCTAATAACTACCGTTATAATTCAATGAAAATTAACTGTTTCAAGAGGAAATTCAATTTTAATAGTTAAACCTTTTTTTAATAAAAAAAAAATCCTTGTCTTTGCGTCCTTTCCGAAGGATTGGTTGTTTATTAAATGCACCCAATATGTCTGCAAACAGGGGAAGCGAAGGGATCATTCCTCTTAATCGGAGAACTTAATCATTATCATTTCTGTTTATCTAGCATTGGTTTACCCAAATGAATAACTCTTAAAGAGGTATATTTCATTCCAAACATAAATTTTGTTTCAAAACATTATATTTAATCATGTTGAATCCGTGTGACAGGATTTATATAACAAAACACAGATGGTCAAATTAAACATTTCTCATAGACACGGAAAGGTGTTTTGGGGTACCATACATGGACGAATTTACTCCTGTGTGTCTCAGGCTTAATAAAGTATTGTCTTGCAGAAGTTGGATCTAATTCATGTATCCATGTGTTCCCTCGGGTTTCATTCCTCTGTAAAAAAGACATAATCAAACGTATTTTAATACAGATGTTAAAAACGGTAGACAAGGAAATTTGGATATTTTAATTATTTTCAAGCCTGTAAGACTACACAAACTAAGGACAATGGGAGAAGGCCTCAAAATTAGGGATTATTTTTTTTATTATTTTCACAATTCTACACTTCGAACCTGTTTTAGCTTAATCATACATTCGTTCTATAGTGGAAATCACATAAAAAAAAGTTAAAAAAAAAAACAAAATGTATAAAAAAAAGACGTCTGGTCAGGATTACTATGCAAGATTAATTTTGTTGAATATAATAGATATAATAACATATTTTATTTATAGATTATTACATGGCATTTTCCATATTGGCCCTGGTATCAGCCCTAGACTCCCATATCAAGCCAGAGGGCTTTAGCCCGAGGGCTTGATATGGGTCGTGGGCTGATACCACGGACCATATGGAAAATGACATGTAATAATCTATTTATCACATATTTTCAAGCAAGAGAAAAAAGATAGCATATACCAAATTATGTTTGATATTTTCAACAAAAATTCAAAAAAACATTTAACGAAAAAAATTTAAAAAATGTATCACAGTGAGTTAACAAAGTTCGAATCCCAGTGAGTAAACAAAGTTTTGTGAAAAGTTTAACAAATAATTAACAATAAATATATTAATTCCCAGAATTGTAATTATTAAACGACTTTAAAAAGTGTTACATTTCCAATTAATGCTGACGAAGAATACACCATATCGCTACTATGATTTGGAAATATGTTCCGCTTGAACTTTCGATGTCATACAACAATCGCTTTTTCATTGTGACGTCATATATTTTCTAAATTCTTTATGACGTCCAAATTTTACGGGAACTTTTGTGATTTCCACTGTTGATTTTTTACATTTTTTCTACTACAGCAGATTCGTAAATTTCTAAATTTCTTTTCATTGTGTTCTCATTTTTCATTTCTTGTATGAATTTACATACATCGTCATTTGATCTCTCCTGATCGTCTAACTGCTTTGGATGACAACTTGTTTACAAATAGTTTTTGATTGACAGGTTACCGGAAGTTAAACTCGGGGGCTCGATATGGATTTCAAGGGCTGATATCGATATTGGCCCCGAGGGCTGATAACCAACCTTGACTTCCGGCTATTATTGGCCATGCAAAAACGTACATATCAGTACAAAATATGTGATAAATAGAGAATATCATATGGCTTTTTCAATATCACATCCGTATCAACCCGAGACACCAATATAATCCCAAGAGCTCTGCTCGAGGGATTATATTGGTTGAGGGTTGATACGGTGTGTGATATTGAAAAAGCCATATCATATACACTTTATTATATACATATACCTCACGTAGATGTTTTTTTATGTGACATGACGTCATACAGATAAGTAGGTTTGAAATGACGTCATACAGATTATAGGTTTGACCTGACGTCATACAGATAAGGGGTTTGATAAAGCCTTTGCAACAGTGACTGCAATCGATGACGTGACTTCATACAGATTAAAGGTGTGATAAAGCCTTTGCAACCGTGCTGATATCGATATCATCACGGGTGGCTGATACAGCACGCTTGCCAATGATTGTATTACACATACAGTTTATCTGTATTTACTACTAAGTATATAATAAAGTCAGATAAATATCAATGCTATATACGTCTTATACGACATATATCCGTGTTATCTAACACAAATGATTTCTAGTAGGTGACCGTTTGATATTTACTGATGTTGCAATAAAAAAAGTTTGGGGCATGGGTATGTACATAAATCATGTAATCATATTTTAAGAAAAATGTGTCTGGTTATCACAAAAAAATATGTTTATAATATATTTATAATTAAAAAATAGAAGATGAGAAACGAGAAGAAGTCGTCGAAATTTTTTCCAATGGAGAGTGAAGATGACGATGCAGCAGCAGACGACGACTCTGCCGATCTTCCTCCGCCCCCAAAAGTAAATATTATCCCCCTTAAACCGCATCTAGCAGCAAAAGAGGCTATAAACATGGATGTAGTTGCACAAACGTTGCCAAAACATAGAAATTGAAAGTATGATTCGGCAATAAGAAAAAAAGATTGAATATCACTAAATTTATCAATTATAAAAAATCCAAAATCACTTGGTGTTTCTAGCTCAAATTCCGAATAATTTTTTTTTATATAAAACCACTTACAAAATTTATATGTTTTACCTCTGATGATTCCAACCAAATTTTACGAGGTTATTCATTCGAGGTTATACTTCGACATTTTGACACGGTCCCATTATTTTTTAGTCAGTGTAGGTATCGATGTCGGTAAAAGTGTTCGTGTAAACGACTTTCGAGAATGTCAAGTTATGGTCAATGACTTTTATACTTGGATAAACGGTCTGCATGTTTACTCTTAGATACGCATGAATGATTTAACATGAATAACACTATACATCATTTCATAAATTTATTATTATTATCGGTTATTATCAAACAGAAAAATACTAACGAAAAGGTTAAGTTTGATTGATTATTTACCTCAAATGTGTGATTTTAGATATAAGAAAACGGAAAATTTGGAATGATTTGAAAACTTTAAGCCAGATAAAGTGTTCAGAACTTTACTACCTAACTGAAAATCTGAAAATTCTACTTTTGCCTTTGTCATTTTATCTTATTTATTTGAAAAACTAGCAGTGTTAATCCCGGATTTAACGTGTATCTTTAACTATGTTACACCAAAAGTGTCACATCTAACTATGTGTGTCTTTTTGGTTTTGTTTACTTGTTCTGTTGCTATCTTGTTGGTATGTTTCCATTATACATCTTTGTTCTTATTTAAAAAATAAAGTAATTATACATCACAATTCAAGATTAACTTTCATCATGACATCTGAAATAATGATTTTTAAAGATACGAATATTTTGAAAGCGGTTTAAATACTACCGAAGGTATATCGGTACAAATATCTTATACATAAGAACCTAAATAACAATTGTCAAAAGTATCAATTATCAACAATGCAGCTTTAAAAATAAAAGTATGATAACTTTACAATGATGTAGCAGTCCTGTTCTCAATGTTTTAAATCCGTCGTTGTCTTCTTAAATTGCTTGTTTAAAATCGTCATTTACAATGTACTATATTGAGATGTTTAGACTACAATGCTTGAGCAAAAACTGAATACTCTACCAACGTATCCCCGTTTGTCCCCGGTGTTTAGTATGATCAGTGATGTTTAAATATGTGCTATTGTGTTTTGAAGGATATTGTGTTTTTTGTTCTTTTTTTTTTACCATGGTGTTGTCTTTCCTTTTATGTTTTTATCCACCTCCCGTCACGATAGCATGATTTTTTTCGCTTGCCAAATGTATACATATAGACCCTAATATAATCGTTTGAAACCCTTCAGTTTGCATTGACAATCATAAGAACCTTATCCCAAAAGAAGTTTTGAATGAAAAAGAGATTTAAAAACTCGAATTTTGTTTACCTGGGTTTTTAATCTTAGTCAACATTTTGAATTTCAAAACACATTTTTCTATAAATAATAGATAATAAATCTGACTATCAATTTACAAATGTTTTTGTTTTTTTTTTATTTGAAATTTACCTTAACAAGAGTGCACACGCTGAAATGTCTCGTCTGCCTTACTGATCATTGTCATTCTATGTTGATAGTCCTTAATATAAAGTTTTACTACAAGTATCACATTAACATAAACATGATCCAAGAAAATGAGGTCAAGGTCAGATAAACCAAGCCAGAAATACATAAAATTGAGAATGGAAATGTACATCTAACAATCATTCCATGTACCGAATATAGTTGACGATAATCAGACCAAACCATGAAAACTTTATATTGACCAATGAATCATGAAAATGAGGTCAAGGTCAGATGAACCCTGCCAGACAGACATATACACCTCAAAATCATTCCATGCACCAAATATAGTTGATGTACTGCTTATAGTATCTAAGAAACAACTTAACCAGGCACACTTAACATTGAGCATTGAACCATGAAAATGAGGTCAAGGTCAAATAAAACCTGCCAGACTGACATGTGCATCGTAAAATATTTCCATACACCAAATATAGTTGACCTATTGCATACAGTATTAGAAAAAATAGACCAAAACACAAAAACTTAACTTTTACCACTGAACCATGAGAATGGGGTCAAGGTCAGATGACACCTGCAAGTTGGACATGTACACCTTACAATCCTTCCATACACCAAATTTAGTAGACCTATTGCTTATAGAATCTGAGATATGGACTTGACCATGAAAACTTAACCGTGTTCACTGATCCATGAAATGAGGTCGAGGTCAAATATAGTTATCCTATTACTCATAATAAGAGAGAAATTAACATTACAAAAATCTTAACTTTTTTTCAAGTAGTCACTGAACCATGAAAATGAGGTCAAGGACAATGGACATATGACAGACGGAAACTTCATATCATAAGGCATCTATATACAAAGTATGAAGCATCCAAGTCTTCTGCCTTCTGAAATTAAAGCTTTTGAATAGTTAGCTAACGCCGCCGTCGCTGGCCCTGCCATATCACTATCCCTATGTTTCGCTTTCTGCGACAGAAGTCGCAGGCTCGACAAAAAATAAGATTTTATGTCCAATTTGTTTTCAATATAACTAAGAATGTTAAAAAGAAAACTACACTTTATAAATTTCATGCGTCTGAAGTGCTTTTCTTGATTTACCTTCATCAGGAACGATCAAAGCCCAAAGCCGAATATTTAAAAGCCAGAGGTGCATAAGAACCGAAAAAGTTAGAGAGCTATATGCCCAAAAAGGACCTAAATATAATAGCCATATCCATTTAAGGTCATATTTGCCAGAGGGAGTTGAAACCTTTATTTCTTTATAATATCCGAATTTATAAACAGACAAGGTTTGTTTCAAAAGCTGTATCGTTTCGACAACTACCTTGTAATTCACCTGATTTTCAGATGAGATAAAGGAGCAGCATATTTTCTGTTCATGTGTATTGTTATATCATAAAAACTATCTTAAAGTGCACATACTTTGATTTGAAAGTTCTACCTTCAGTCTTTTGACATTCTGTTTAAAAGTTTTCCTTATTGTATCTCTTTCAATGGACAGCAGCAATATGGATTATTTGTGGTAATTTACATTCATATCTAGATTAAAAGTCTATAATATATATATTAGCAATGTGTTCACATCTGTTTACTCGAAGTTGCGCTTGAATGATTTTACTTGATAAATATACCCTATAAAATATTATTAGTCATTATTTAACAGAAAACTGCTAATGCAAAGGTTTTGGTTTGTATGATTACATTTGACTGGTAATTGTGATAATGCAGTATATAAAAGCCAAAAAAAAATGTTAGCAACAAACGTTGTTAAGTATTTTACTAGTCTACTGAAAAGAAATTCTGAATTATCATTTTCATTTCTGTCATTTAAGCTCATATGTTTTGAAAATTTAGCAGAATACAACTCTCCACCAGAGACCAAATGACATCGACGTTAACAACTATAAAAGTCACCGTACGGCCTTGAACAATGAGAAAAACCCATACCGCATAGTCAGCTATAAAAGGCCTCGAAATGACAAATGTAAAACAATTCAAACAAGAAAACTAACGGCCTAATGTATGTACCAAACCAATGAACGAAAAACAAATATGCTATACAGCAACACACGACAACCACTGAATTACAGGCTCCTGACTTGGGATAGGCACATACATAAATTCTGCTTTCAACAAATATTTTCAAGTAAGTTACAATAAATATTTCACATGCTCTAAACGTGTCCTTTTGGTTATGTTGTGTTGTTATCTCATTGGTATATTTCCCATGTGTCCTTCCTCATTATTAAATAGTTTAAGTATACAACACAAGTGAAGTTTTTCATAATGATATTTTATTCTCGACTCCAAGACTTAAGTTATGTAATGTAAAGATGTAATGGCCAATTATAAAGTAGACCATATGACTAACAACTACTGGAGAAGACGTTACTAAGTTGTAAAACTTGTTTCTGATCCATTTTTCATTTTGAACAATAAAATATGTTTAAACTAAAAACTACTATGTCTATTCTGCATGAGGTTTTTCCACTGTTAGACGGTACAAGGGATGTAGCAATAAATTGCGATACATGTATCATATTCTCCTATGATATACCAATAATGATTTATGTACCCTGTTAAAGTCGATTCTTGTTTAGGTGTTCCGAATGATTTTTTTAAACTCTGTTGTTGCAGTTCTTATATTTTGATGTTCCAGGTGGTTCTTTTTAAACCCTGTATTTGTAGCTCTCTTGTTTAGGTGTTCTAGGTTGTTCTTTTAAAACCTTGTATTTGTAGTTCTCTTGTTTAGGTGTTCCTGGTGATATGTTTTCCATAGATTTAAGACTTGTGACTAATATACCAAATATTACTTGAATCATTATTTATGAACCTACTAATGATGTAATAACTTCTGGCTCAACTGAATAGGACAACACCAAATGTGACAGAGTATAACCTGAACCTCACTGTAAAGGGGAGATCACTCTAGGGAGTTACACCTTCATTCTATGCACCAGTTCTATAACATGATGACTCAAACACCACCTTCAATATCTACTTGAAGACATACTACTGACATTGGAATTGAAACTCCCTGCATAACAAGACATCATTGAGTTTGCTGCTGACAACAAGATTATACATATATTCAAGTTTTTATTGATATAAAAATATAAATATTTGGCCCTTAAGAGTCGTACTCAGCGAAGGAAAATTTAGCTCCAGGCCCTGTCGTCGACACTATGTATAGATGGACCAAGTACCATGGACATGTACACTCCGTCAACCGACCAGAACAAGATGAGTTCCTATTAGAGGATGAAGCGGTGCTCCATCTCGTAGCAGGTGGCTACAATAAAAGGGGGTCAGATTGATGGTGGAGAGAGAAATACATGTAGATGTTTTACATTTAATGACTTGGGGGAAATGAGAAATTAGACCAGTGGTCAATTTCGAAAGGGTCCAAAAAGTCAGATGTGAAACAGCTGAGTGACCCCCAAGGTAATGAGTGGGAAGAATTGAGTAAAAGGGAAGCCTTCAACTAAACACTGGGAAATTCCTTGTAAACACAGTATAAATGTACATATTTCAATATTATGACAAACTGTATTAATGATAATGATATTAGTAATACAAAAAACAAAATATAAGAGTTGATATTAATGTTACATACATGTATCTATAAATGATTATTTACAAAGTTATGTTAAATTAAACTAACTGTTACAAATCTGTTGCTGTGCATACTTAATAGAGGATTTATCTGTTCTTTTGTATCGACAATAACTATCAGAATTCCATCTGACCAAAGTTTTGATCGAATGATCTTCAATGTTAGCCTTACCAGCACTGGTAGCTGCGCCAGTACGAGTGTCCATTATAAAGGTCTGCTTGAAATCCACACTATTCCAATAAATGTTTTAAACTGGAAATGAAATTCTTTCTTTCCAAAGCTGAAAAAATTTCAGTAATGAACAGTTGATCTGAAAGTGCAAATTGGCCTTTAGCTGATCTTAATTTCAAAATAACTTTTTAAAGCTGTAAATGGACATAGCATATTTTAATTTTGAATTTTAATTTTATAGCATATTGTTAAGCCTATATGTCAATACCTTTTCTAAAAGGATCAGTTTTAGATTGTTTTAAATGCAGAATTGCAAAATCTGCATGAAATAGTACACCAGCAACACATAAATTACATTCTGAATCAAAATTAAATGCTTTATCTACAGCAAATTCACCACACCGTAGAAACCCGTGAAATGCTACAATACAAACAGTTTCAAGCATACAATCTGTAAATTCTGAAATGTAACCCATCTTCAGTTTAAGACAAACTTGCTTTAGTATGTCAGAAGTAATTCGAAGTCTTGGCCTGACAGATTGTTTTTGTGATCGTTTGACCG